CTCTCTCTCTCTCTCTCTCTCTCTCTCTCTCTCTCTCTCTCTCTCTCACACACACACACACACACACCAACCAGAAACAAACAGAAGAAATGGACTGCAGGCACAATCGGGTAAAGTGATTCATGTGCAAACAGAGTTCCTACAACAATGAGTAGACAGCAAGTTACTGGGCTTTCAGAGGCAGAGGAAGGTTGTTGTTGAGAAGAAACATGTGTCACCGTGACTTTGCTCCCGAAATTCACCTCCATTCAGCTGTGACCACGGCCCTTTACAAAGTGGATCCGTTGGTGATTTTACAAATGCTAAATCAGACCGCATAGACCAATCGGATCCAGAGTTACACAACTGTTACACAAGTAATTCTCTTCACAAGCGAACTTCCTGATTGAACGCGTGTTGGCCTGCTACACTATCCCTCACACACAACACTTGCACTTTGTGGGTTTTCTTTCTGAGAGGAAAAACAAACGAGATAGAAGAGATGAAGAGACATGAAACAAGACAGAGACAAACAACACACACCACAGCACCCAGCATGAGAGAGCGGCACATCTCTCTACATCAAAACATTTCCTAACTTGTTAACCTGCAGGAACAGGATGTGGTTAAGCGTTCAGTCGGCCTGTCGCAGCTTTTTCACACCAATCCTGACCCGCTGCCAAACACACACACACACCTACACACACACAGAAGCCTCCCTGTCTACCTTACACGCATATCCTGTGTTCAGATAGTGTCAAACAGCCAGCAGCTCATCATCTCTGTCAACTCAGCAGAGCCATGTGAGGTGCAGGCACTGTGCCTTCCAGAGGAGACACAAGGAGAGGGAGGAGAGACATTTGATGATCGGGGTTTTTCAAAGCACAAGAAACCCACAAGGGCTGGGGGGTGGAGCTGCCATCTCGGGTTAGCGTACAGATATTAGTTCACTCAGGTTTTTTATTTTTTGGGGAAAAGTATTACCCACATGCCTTAACTGGAAGTAATACAGATGCTGTCAAGTTATTTACTCTTGAGGTTGTTGGATATTCAATTACTTTAATGATATCAAGTTAGTTTGATGACTTTAGTTGATGAAGTCTATAAAATGTCCTCGCAGACGTTTAAAAAAAATATTTGAATTGTACATTGTGTCATTGGGTGATTTCTTTCCTCAACATGATAAAAACATCAGAGCAATTTCAAGTAAACAAGCTTTTCTAGAGGACAGCTGCAAGGACACCGGAGCAGAGAGAGAGAGCGCGATAGAGAGGGAATTCTGGTCCAGTTCTGCTCGTTGGCACGGAGTAGCTTCAGCCTAAATTATGCATGCCCTCTTTCTCTCCCACCCAATCTCTCTTTCTGTCACACACTCACGAAGTTTGAGAGAGGAACTCCAACTATGCGAGTGTGTAGGGACAGCCAGAGAAACAAGGTGATTTCAGGGACGGACAATAAAAAGGGACAAAAGAACGCCGGAGCCTCGCCGCCTTCCTCTACCTGTGTGTGTGACGGCTACCTCACTGTATGTTAAAGTGGTTTCCATCAGGACAAGAATTGGTGGCCGATTTCTCAAAATGGTTGCCCTTACTGTCGAGGCCTGGAGGATATATTGGCTGACTACATTTCAAAAGTGAGTTCCAATTGTTTTCATTGATCCACATGCTCAAACCACTGCAGTTTGACTGCGATTACTTTGAGCTACGAGGCTGCGTAATTCACTGTCATTAGCTTGAAAGTCAATGAGAGAGATTGTTGCTTTGCAAAATGAATATCAGTCCTAAATGTTTGACTCCAAAATGGAGAGAAAATTAATATCCAGAGCAGAACACAGGACACTCTCCAGAAGGTCAACGCTATCCTCTGCATTAATCACGCAGGAATGTCAGTGAGACATCAGTTTATTGGCCCTTGGGATTTTCACTGGTGATGTGTGTTTATGGATTTCATCCTAACTTTGTCTTTTCAATCATTTTTTGTCAAATCTGCTCAACATAAACATATCCTCTTGTGTTTTATATCAATTACATTGTACATCTTTGCAGTAAAACTGCTTGTATTTTAATGTTTGTAATACAGCGTCAAACCTAGGATAAAACCACTTCCCGTCTCTTCCCTGCATATGAAAATGATTATTACATTATAATAAATTGTGAATAAAAAGGGTTTGTTTTCATGGTATGGACTGTTTTCATCTACACTGCCGATAACACCAGAAGATGCAACTTATGGCTTCTGGCTCTGGCTAAATAAACACACATTCCTGAACTGAACAGACTTAGATTCACCTGAGCAGCAGAAGGAGATCCGCAGCGAAGCATCACCGCACAGCCGTGTCAAAATATTCCGGCAGATATGATAAGGATACATGTGGTCGAGCTTCAGATGTTCCGTGAGCTCGGCCTGCCTCTGAAGCTAAACCTTATCGTTCTTTGTCCTGGAGGCACAGGGAAGCGTACCCTACCCCTTCTAAGGCCGCCTTTATCGTCTCACGATGTTCTGTAAATGGCTGCAATCCTCCTCTTGGCAAGCTTACCTCAACCTTTGGCTTCAGGGGAAATATTTCTGTGTTTATCTTCACAGCAACATAAAAAAACCATGGGAAAGAGTATTCATTTGGTGGTTAAATGTATAATGGCAGTCATTTCTAACCGCTGCTGGGCAGCTGCAGTGAGTAACGGCTGGCAAAGAGCCTCGCTTTAACTGCACACTGAAGATGCCTGCTCACTTTCTCTATTACTCACTAAGCAATTTTATTTCCTGGTATTTATTTCTCTGTGTCTTATACAGCATACACACAGATGTGACAAAACAATACCTACAGTTTGAACTGCGTTAGAAAAACATGGCTGCCCATCTTGAATAGTGTGTGTGTGAGCCTCTGTGTGTAGTAGGTACAGTATTCAATAATGTGTTTGGGGTGAAAGGGGAATGCCACTCTACCAGCTGGTTTTCTGTCTCTTCCCCCCACTGTTAAAGCGTGCAGTGACTCAGCAAGGAACCAATATGACAAAATACCGCACGGCAGGGGGCCGGCTGATGAGGAGGTTGCACACTACATTCAAATAAGCTTTTTTCCTGCAGACTGAAAAGGCGGAATGCTAATGGCTCTCCTAAATCTTCAAAGCATCTTCGTGTCCATACTGTAAAAAGATTCTCTCTCGACACATCTCCGGTGAAATGCTCCCACAGCAGGGCAACGTTCACTGAGGCAGCAACCTCCGGGGTTGCAGTGAAGCCAATGAGGAAGTGCCTTAAACCTGCATTCTTTCCAATGGCCAGCAGGGGGCGACTCGTCTGGTTGCAAAGTCAGATTGTATAGAAGTCTATGAGAAAATGACCCGACTTCTCACTTGATCATTTAGTAAATGATGGTCCCGAGTACAATAGACCATAAAGCAGGGTATGCTTTAGGGCGGGGCTACCTTGTGATTGACAGGTTGCTACCACGGTTTTGTCCACGAGCTGTCCGTGTTTTCCTCACTACAACTTTAACCCTTTCACTGTGTGTTTTCAGTTTATAAAAGTCAATTGTAACATTTTGGACACATTTCTTTAGCGTTCAGTTGGGCTCCACCCCCTTGTGTCACTTCTCGATGAAAAAAACCCAAGATGGTGACTGGCAAAAACCAAGATGGCGACGGTCACAACGCCGAACTCAAGGCGTCAAAACAGCAGGCCACAAACAAATGGGTGACGTCACTGTGACTACGTCCACTTCTGATATACAGTCTATGCTTTTACGACAGGAGTAAAAAACATTTTTACCAAAAAAACAAGACTAAAGCCAGTATAGTTAAACCTAAACCAGACAATCTACCATGACGAAAAACCAACAAATTACAATTGTCCCCTGTATTTTGCTGTAATCTGAGAATAGTAACAGAAATATGCTTATATTTTAGAGACAGAACTACTGTATTGTAGCCTGTCGTTATATAATCTGATCGTCCTCCACATGTTAACTTTCATCTTGAAAACCAAACTTGTGAGCCAAGAAAAATCCTACTTTCCTACAGATAATTATCACCATTTAGGGAATATACTAAAAAAACCTACATTATAGTCCTGACAGCCAGTCTCATATTGGAAATGTTAATCTTCAAAGTGGGAATGTTCTATTTAAGAAAGGAAATTCTAAAATGTTCACAAGAAGTCTGCTTTCCTCTTACACTGAAGTGCCAGAGGGAAACATATGCATGAGTGCACTGAGTGGCCTAAAAACAGCAGAGGTTTTGCAGTGTGACCTCTCCTGATAATATGCAAACATATGTTGCTGGTTGGACAGTGTCCAAATGGCTAAAGGAGAGGAGAGGAGAGATAAACAGCTCATACCTGCATGAAGTCAGATTCGCCCAAATGTTGGTATTGGCAGTGCTTGTTTATTCTGCTAAGTAAAACCCACAACGACAAACGCCTCGGTTCTTTTCACAGATTTGATTTCTTCCAAATCTTTGTCTTGACTCTGACTCCTCGATCTAATCATAACCCTCTCAGAATGATTTCAATATGAGCGGAGCTCCCTCCTGCTTCTATTCTGGTTTCAATACTCAATTCACAAACCAAAACAAGGGGAAACAATATCTGTCACTGTGAGTGACGGGGCTGCCAACTCAAAATGAAAGATATAGCCGGCAATTCTTCATCTTCATCCTGGTGCTCATGAATAGAGGCCCTCTTTGTTGGAATCAATGGGTGGTACTAATGCTTTATCAAAGGGAGTTAAAAGAATAGGAGCAGCGATGCTCTCCAGATTGAGACGGAGCCTTCTCAAATCATTAATGCTAATGCTGCCAGCAGATCATGTTCCTAATTAGCTCCGAATGAACAATTGTGTGATTGGGCTAAAACTGCAAAAAAAAAAAAGAGCTGCCAATCGGAAGATAAGAGAGAAGAAGGGAGGAGAGCTGAAAAGAGATAGAAGGAAATGGAACGAGATGACTGGCGAAGTGACAAAATACCTGAGCAGACAGTCGAGCGAGACAGAGACACACCGGGGATTTCGGGGGAAGTGAGAAAGGTACCTGGGAGGGTGCGTGCCTGCGTGTGCAAGCGTGGGCGTGCATGTGTCTGCACAAATACACAGTCTGCCCATTATGCAATTGGAGTGAGTGGAACTGGACCATTACAGTCCATTTAGGTTTCAAACAGTGAGACAGCACTTGGCACTTCATTTAGCCACACAAGCGTGTAACAGCGTCCGGCTCGCGCTACCAAAGCTCTGCCGATAAAGGGGGGAAATGAATAAAACGGCCCCCTTCCTGAGAGTTTCAAAGTGCTCTCTGAAGGACGGTGCTGCTGGGAATGCAGTGTGTGTGCGCGGGGAGGCTTTGAGGACGGGAATTATCCATTAGCAGTGGGCGACGGAGCGAGTAAACATATGCCCGCGACACGTGGTGCTGTCACACAAACGTGCGTTTCGAAAGGCAGCTCTCACACATGCGGTCATTCTGACGAGCTTGGCCGTAATGCAATTTGCTCACACTCATGAGGCCGTGACGTGCATTAGCACACAAACATGAGAGCCTTCCTGTCACGCACTACATGAATACTTCTGCTTCATTTCCATTTCCTGAAACCTAAACAGAAGCTCCATCTAATATCTAAATCCAACAGACACACAGAGTGCATTCTTAATGCCCTGTGAGTCAATAGCATATTGATCTGCATTCTTAGTAACTGTGTGCACATACTGTATATTACCATCTCTTGGCTAGATGTATCTGCTAAAAGCTATGTAGCCTACTACCTATAACAACAACATCCAACTAATCAATATATCACGGGTTTAACTGGCAAAGTCCTTCAAAAACTATTTTCTGTGTAAGGAGAAGTCAGCGTAGCGTAGCAATTGTGTCGGCTCCTCGGATAATCCTCTCGTTTGCTCGAGCACCTTTTGGCCGGCTTTTGGCCCTTCTGCTCTTTGAGCGGTGTTAAAATGCTGAAATGAGCAACAGCAACTGGGAAAAAAAAAAAAAGCGAGCTGGAAAATAGATGGTGTTTTCTTCCAAGTCCGTCTCCGAGGGAACAGGCTTATACTTTAAGAGATTTTATAGAGATTTTCTTTCTCTTTTCTGTGAGTGTAATGAGGGCAGAGTGTGTGGGCGGGTATTCACGTGATGCCTGGTTGCACACACGGTCAACTCTTCTGAGCAACATACCTACACAAGCACATGTGCACACGTATGGCCGAGCACCCGCTGTGCGCACGGCGGGTGCCCGAGTGCTAAAACACAACACAAGATTACATACGAGGACACGCACACTTCAGAGTCTGACCCTTGTCTCTCTCTCTCTCTCTCTCTCTCTCTCTCTCTCTCTCTCTCTCTCTCTCACTCTCTCGTCCTTCTCTCACATGCATGCAAATGTACACTTTCCCATCTGATTCACTCCCTGTATGATCATTATCTTTGGCATATTGCAAACACTGAGTCGTGATGGGGTTATTATCGAGACGGGCCGGTACACTCAACACGTCGCTTCTCATTAACAGGACCGCAACCCCCCCACCCCCACCCATCAGTGTGAATGCATGGTCGGTGACCTACCCTCCTTTGATGTAGTCCAGGAAGGTGACTTCAATGTCCAACAGGAATGACAGCAGTGTTACCTGTAAGCGATAGGGCCACAATTAGCTTTGTGTCAACGGTAATCACTTGTGGGTGTTGTCTCTGATGCGACACTAGTTTCTAATCCTTTCCGACCACTAACACTCGGCAGTATGACAGAGGTACCCGTCTGGGTCTACTATAGCATAGTATTGCATTTCATGCAGCTATGTATCAAGGAAAAGAATGATTCATGATTGATGGATATTTCCTCACCGTTCCAGAGTTGAGGTATTTTTTCTTCCTCCCTTTCTTCTTTGGATTTATCACCTTAAAAATACAAGATTCTCTGCTGTCATTTTGACATTTATTCATTCAGTCATTCCTTCTACAATTCAGTCTTTCACAAGGCTGGTATTTCAAAGGTGGAGTGTGTGGGATTTGACAGCATCTAGGGGTGAGTTTGCAGATTGCAACCAACTGAAACTTCTCTCCTGTGCCGAGCGTGTAACTACTACGACGCGAGTGGTCGAGAGTCTAGAGCGAGTGTTTGGTTTGTCTGTTCTGGGCTCATTCTAAGGTCATGAAAACACAATGGTTCTTATTTTCAGGTGATTATACACTAAAGAAAAGATACTTATCGATATTATATTCCATATCTGTTTTCAATAGATCCCCTAAATGCTACACACTGTTACTGTAAGTAGTACCGGTGCAGAATTGGCACCTCGAGGAACTGCAGAGTTTGGAGATAACTCTCTGTGAGTAGTCATGTGATTCATTGGTAATATTAAAAATATATTACAAATATCTCCTCTTTAAGGAGCATGCTTTTTTGATTCCTCTTATCAATTCCTGAAAGCAAAGTTTGGACCTACTGCACTTCTATCTACATCACTGGTTACACGTGTTGACACATATGTCACTGGAGCTATTCTGTCCAACATGAACATGGGTGTGACTTCATGAATATGCAACAGGACACGGAGTGAGTGCACAGTAAATCAAGATTACGCATCTAACAATCTTTACGTTTCGCTTTAAGACCCTGTTGTTTGAGACATGTTTCCGGGCCGTTGGGCGTCCATTCATTTTTTCTTCGATGTTGTAGTCCAGGCTCATTAAAACATACAACCGCTCCCGTTATGTAGGGACAGCCAGGGACAGAACCAAAACTCATTTTGAATCCCAAACACTGCATTCCGAGCCGTTAAATCCGAGCTTTATGGCTTAATTAAACTGAAGCAAAGGTTAAACAGAAAGAGAGGACCACATACAAATGTGTGGATTTATGCATTTCTCCTTGGCTCACACAAGGACAAGTTTGCCTCTGGAGGTGAGGTGTAATGATTGAAACGTGGTTGTAACACAAAGACACACTTACACACAAACACCGAGGGACTTTAAAGCCATCTTCTCTCTAACTGCCAGTTTTAAGTTGGAAGCCGGGGTCAAGAAACATGTCAGAAATCCCCAAATGACTTTGCGTGCTTGCTGTGCTTTCACATACTTGCCAGTGCCTCTGCGTGCACCTTTGTGCATGTGCACATCTGAGCGCCATTAGGCACACAGCAGCTGTTTAAAATGACAGTCCCCTGTGTGCTCTCCTCTCCGTGTGGTATGCTGTTAATCAAGAAGTGTTGACTCTTCGTGGGAGAAGATAAGCCAGCGATCCATCGTAACTGTCTGTCAGTGTGTGTGTGTGTGTGTGTGTGTGTGTGTGTGCATGACGAAGTGAGGCTTAAGATTTTGATTAACGTTAACTAAGTCTTATGAGAGTCCCATCTTCAGTGATCAGTGATTATGCACCAACACAAAAATATACAGTATAATATGTTGGAGTATGGGAAGGGGGGAATATTTATATCATACTATATTGAGGACATACACTTTTTTATGTAAAATTTGAGCATTTTCCTGTTTGTTTGTTTTAAGACTGACTCGTTTCTCCATACACCACTACAATGGAGGTGAATGGAATTTTGTTTGTGGAAAGCATTTTTAATAACTTTGACTCTCAATGGACAGATAAAAAAAAATAGTTGGCTATATACATTTTTTTTTTAAATGTCAGTAACATGACACATTTCCATCCTTAATCCAACCTGATCTGTACACAACAAAATGGCATCAGCTGATGTGAAGTCTCATGTTCAAGCATCTGGTTTGTGTCTGTCTCTATAAGAGGTGATGTAATCAAAGCAACATTGACATGATCCATAATGTTTCTATCTGCTTCAAGCTGAAGCAGTTTATTTCTACTTTAAAGGGACAGTGTGTAGAATTTGGTGACGTCTTACGGTGTGGTTGCCATCCTTACCATATTAACACTACTGTAGGAGCAACAGAAAGTCAGACAGCGGCTGGCGGTGCCACGGTTTTGCACCCTGCGGCTCACGTTAAAGCAGTTTCACAAGCGTGTTGTAGAACTGCGATGTCCGTTCTGGGCTACTGTAGAAACATGAGGCTGCACATTGAAGAGGACCGGCTCCCTATGCTCATTCTAAGCTAACTAAAAATATGACGATTCTTAGTTTCGGGTGATTATAGACTAATAAAAAACATAGTTATGAAATGAATTTCCAATTCGGCTCATAAATGCTACACACTGGCCCTTTAAGAAGCTATTTTTCAGTTCACATCCTATAAAACTGTTTTAAGTTGTGTTTTATTTTTATAACAAAAATCAGTTTCAGAACTGAAATGGCAGTTTAGTTTTACTAAAGTAAAACTTCAGTAGAAAATGTTCCAGATGGAAACACAATCGTCCAATTACAGGGTGTGTGAGGGATCTATCGACCTGTACACTGGTCTGGAGAGGATAATCATTGTTGACTTGAAAACAGTAACACACGTGTACATGCAAGCTCACGCACACACAAACTGACCTCATAGACATTGAACTGGCTCTGCCCTCTGGATAGTTCTCTGTAGCTGGTGCTGAACTCTCCGATAAAGTCGTGACTATGGAGAGAAGCGAGGAAGACACAGAGCGAGAACATATTAAAACAAAAGTACTGTTTGACAATATATTCCATTTGATTATTTTCAGACAGCCCGTCCAGACCACAATAAAGTAACGATTCCAACTTCTGTAACTTGAAAGCAAAGCCCCGGTGATGGATTCTAGTGAATACGAAAGCAACTCAACCACGAGAAAAGGAGACAGCAAACGCAACACGGACAATGGTTGAAACAAACACTGAGGCTCACTTCAAACCAAACAGCTTGTTATGAAAAATTGTTAGCATTTCTGGTTCCCATTGAAAAAACATTACACCGAAATGTCACTGTGTTACCCGCTTTCAGATTTGAGAGTGACATTGAATAGATTGCATAAAGAACAGGGAAATAACTCCCTGTTCAACTACAGCTTGACAAATGTCACTCCTCTTTCTTTCTGCCTGACTGTCAGCAGCCAGAATCCAGACTCATCATTAAGCAGTCAATCTGTGACGATCCTGCACCCTACTGAAAACATAAACTAGTGTTAATTATGTGTGGGATTAGCAAAAGCTGTGGCACAGGAAGCTAACGTGCGTTGAATGTTTAATGCAATCAGGATAAGAAGTAATGAGGGAATGTATTGCTGCGTATTTATCAGTGATTACTGAGGTTGTCGTTGCATATCAGACTTATATCTGTGCAACAACCTGCTATCCTCACAAGCTTGAAACTCATTAACACAAAATTGCCTGAACAGGTGTTGAGAACTGTAAAGCGTTGGTCCTGCTTGTGTTGGTGTAGTTTATGGTGTAGTTTTATATCCAAGTGTCTAAGGGGACAACCATTTTTGAAATTGGTCCAGTATTGGAGCGACGGCAGCAGCTCATCGTGCTGCAATGATGTCATTATTGTGTCATGTGTGAGAGAGGAGTGCCGGTGTTGTCAGAGCTTGTTGGGTTGGAGTACAGGAAGCTTAGCTTTGAGTTATCTGAAATATTTCCCATGTCATGGCTGAATATGTAGCTGATTTCGAGAATGTGGATGCGCCGCTAGATTTCAGAATGAGACTTCTCCAAGCGAGGCGCGATAACAAACAGCGAAAGGTAAAAAAAACAACTTCATTTCCCATAATGTTGTCAGACACTTATAATAACAACATGAGCCTGTGAGTGGTAAAAGAAGCACTTTAAGTGGACGTACATTGACGGTGCCAAAGTGCCCCGAGTGTTTACATTGCAGCTCGTTGAGCGGCTGTAATCTGCAGCGTTCTCGTTCGATACAGAACCAATTTCAAAGATGGCTGTCCCCATTAGTCACTTAGATACAATAACATGTTGAGAAATACCAAAGTAACCCTTAAGTATTGATATCAATACTTGCGTCAACCGGATCGTTACCAAAAAATGAATAAATTGGTCTCCTGTTAGGTCGCGTTATGGACACATTAACTTTATTCTTTGCTTCTCTGCTGCTGTAACTTGAGCCCTGTTAGTTGAGAGAGCTCACACAATAACTATGTCGGTCTTTTATCATTAAAAACTTTCTTGTGCCTTAACATGCATGTGATTAAGTCATTAACACAGAACAAGTTTTGCAAATCCCTCTAAGGCAATTAAAATGTATTCATAAACCTTCATAATTTTAAAATCATGACATGTGTCTTACCCACAAAATAGCAGATTAGCTGCTTTTAATAATAAAACCTATTGGAATGTATATTGATGACTGTAATTATCGCCCGGTGATCAGAACCAACTTTTGTATCGCCCACCCCTAAAACACAGCGGCCTTATGCAAATCAATGAGGTGGTTGTGTTTTTTGACGCAGTGCGGTTGTGTGTCTGCACGCGGCCGAAGGCTCCGCTTATACTTCTGCAGTAAAGTAACAAACAGCAGAGGCGTTGAACCGGAACGAAGTCATCATTTGTCCCGAGAAGTATTACGGTATGTGTTTACAGGCTGTAACTTAAAGGGTTTTAATGGTAGTTTAATGACACCAAAAAACAATATAAGCGGGCAAATAAAAGATAGTAATTACCTGCCATCTCTGTCCCAGTCGTACACCTCGACCTTGATCGTTCTGTTGGTAGAAGCACAAGGTGAGGATCAGATTAACAAGACACGTTTTTTTTTCTTTTTCTGAATTATGACTCTATTAATGTTTCCACTGAAATGCATTTGTCTCAATATTCCTTGAGGCATGGCATTGCTTAGTTGCAACATATTATACTCATATTCAAGGTGCTAAAGCTCTATCTTCTTAATTTCTAAATAAACACAGATGCTAGTTTGCTTTTGTCGTTGTTGTCATGGAGGCATTAGGAGAGGCTGATTCATTCTGCAGCTTATCTTTATTACAACACACTGTCTGCCTGTCACTGTATTTGCCTCTGGTAACAGGGCTGTCCTCATCTCCAAAATACATCTATCTCTGCATCCCATTATAGCTTACAAGGAAATGTGAATAAAAACAAAAACAAAAAACAGAATAGCCTGCAAGAGGCAGATATGCTGCGCTATCACTTCATCTTCAACAGGAGGATCATTTCTGTCCGACAAAAGCAGGAGAGCGATCGGTAGAGAGCGAGAGGGCTGAGGGAAAAGGATAAACGAGATGAGGCTGAATTAAAAACAGAGAGAGAGAGCAAAAGGCACGAGAGGGAAGGAGGGAGAGAGCAAGGTGAAGGGCCCCCGGGTGTGATAACGATTCAAAACTGAGAGAGAACAAAAATAAAAAAGACACCCAAGAGAGACAAACCCGTGTAGCACTCACAAGCTCAGTCGATTAGGTTTGTCGCTTTCAACCGCAGAGACGGGGCGAATTACGCATCAAAGTTTTCTGAGCAGACTGTAGTATTTCATGAGTCTTGTATGACGTCCTTTCAGCACTGACTGAGATTGCTTTAGAGCTTGGCCAGCCTTCTGAAACAAAACGGCACCTGATTCAAAAAACCTGAGGCACAAAAGTGCACCTTCGCAGCCTCGTCATCTTTCTATATCAGAAGAAGAAGAAGAGGAGGAAAAAGCACCATTAATGGGCCTTAGAGCAGCTTGAAGAGCCACATGCACATTAAAAAGGGAGATGAGGCATGAATGGGCTGGCTGATGGCGACGTGCACTCCCGGGGATGAATGTGTCTCCTGGTTGAGACGATTAATGATGTGGGTGTAGATGCTATGTGTTTATGGGGCGGGGGGGTGTCATTAAGTCAGTGTTATTCCACATCTCAGCAGGAGACATCCCCTCACTCTGAGCTTTGATGAGGTGACAGGAAATTGACAATGATTTCACTTGTTGAACTTGTAGTCTTACTGCGTGTGTGTGTGTGTGTGTGTGTGTGTGTGTGTGTGTGTGTGAGAGAACAAACACAGGTCCATCAGAAGACCTAGGAGCAGAAAGACACAGTTCTCTATTGTTTGCCAGCTTGAGCTCCTCCTTATCTTTTCTCCCAGACTGAGCAGAGACAGATTCAATGTGTGTGTGTGTGTGTGTGTGTGTGTATGTGTGTACTGTATGTGCAGTCCACTGTGAGTGTCCTGAGTTGATAAGACTCCTCTAATAAGCTTATTGGACCAAACTTCAGATCAATGCTGCTGTCTGCTAGCTGAGCTAAGCTAAACCCCGTTTCGCTTGTTAGCCACACAGCTGCCGTCGACACCGACGATGGACTGCGAACACATGACTGACGTGAGGGAGACGCGCTTTGTTATTCCTACTTGTTTGTTGTCGCACTGGGGCTTCGAGCAACGCAAAATCATTTCAAAAGCTGGAAACGCTGGAAATTTGTTTTAAGAGGCAATACAAACGTGACAACGCTATATATATTTTTTTTATCAGGTCCATATTTTTTGCATAATTTTATTATTTCCAAAGGTTATAGTTAAAAGGGAACACACAGACAGGGTTCAGTTGGTGCATTTTAAATTAGTTAATTCCAATGAATTGCTAATGTAACCTAAAGACCTTCTTCATATTCATATTATTCAACAATCAGTTATTAACCATTAACTTTTAGCTCAGCTCCTTTACCAATAATAATCATCAAATTGCGTAGCACCTTCCAGGAAACATGTGAGGAACCACTGAGCTGAATGTCACCAAAAAAGAAACATTACAGAGAAGCAGCAGAATTTACTGCCATACCTTTTAAAATAGGTTCAATATTTAGAATGGAAATTCATAACACAGCATTCCTTAGAGCAGTGAGACCCCCTGTCCATCACCATATCAATAACAGCAAGTTCCACTGAAGCGCCTGCATCCCAGCAGTCCCTGAATCAGCACAATGGACAATGGTCTCTCGCATGCAGATGATCCACTCTATATCTATATCTATACCTTATATCTTTATCACATTTACAAGATGTTTTATAGAGTGGAATTATAAAGTCCTTCTTTTGGTCAAATACACATACACCCATTTTTTCTTTCTTCCAATTAGTTCATTTTCATGCATTTTCATCTCCTGTTGTTTCTGCTTTCTAATGAGCAGCAGAACAGCCACACAATCACGTACCTCGTTCATACTCGGAAGAGCAATTACGATCATAGACACACATAGATAGTGTGAGTGTGTGTGAGTGTGTGTGTGTGTGTGTGTGTGTGAGTGGGTGGGTGTTGGGGGCAGGATGTCATTTGTTGTTGTGGTATATCAAAATAAATGCAGAGAAATGTAAGTGAGTGCAGACTTGCCTAAGAATGCAATGTTTTTTTGGCACTATGTTCACGTTAGTGTCGTATGATGTATGACGTAGAAAACAAGCGTGTCGAACAAATCTCCGGACGAAAACCAGATAGCTAAATAACACATCCACGCTTTGTTTTATAGGAAAAATAACAAAATCATATGCAAATTCTTACTGCTAAAACTGCCAAACACAATAATATTTCGACTTAGCAGCTGAAAACAGCTTCATACAATTTGTATTCAAATTTGATGTAATATATACACCACTGACACACTGCTGTTAAAAGAAATGATTGTATTTTTATTTTATTACTCTCCCCAATGCATGTTAAACAATAAAAGGCTGCCTATGCGAGTGTGTTTGGATGCACAGCGTCGAGGCTCATTGTTCATATCTCAGTCAACGGTAACAATGAATGACTATAAGCTGTGAATGTGGTCCAGTACCTCCTCTAATATTGGGGATATCTGGGTTTTCTCACACCAGCATTTTCTGCCGGGAGGAAGTTAACATTCCAAGAAGAACTCTGAATTTCCGAAGATTAAAGTCGTAAATATACAAGAAAAGAACTCAGATAGACTGAGAGATTAAAGTGGTGAATTTCAGAGAAATAACTGACGCATTTGCGAGATCTTGAAGTCATACATTTGTAAGAAAAGAACTCTGAAAATTGTGGAGCGCAAAACCGTTGGAAGGCCAGCCGTCTGAATTCCGTTGCTCCTAAAGTGAAGCATTTACATAACAAATATTTTCTTTTTTATTAACACGGTTTTGCATGGTTTGAGGGTTTTTTCGTAAACGTATGACTTCATAATCTCTCAAATTTGGGATTTTTGTGAATTATCATTTAGCTTTTTCCTACAATGGCCTTAATAGGCTGTCGTATAATACGCCGTCGCAGTGCTACGCGATGTGTAAGCAGACCATCCATCCCATCTAAAAGAAAAACAAAAAAAGGACTCACCTGTCGTAGTCACCGTTGCAAAGAGCCCGAACTGGGATCTTAAAGGCCTGCCATACTGGGTTTAATGTGTTCTTCACCACCTCCGTCTTGTGGCAGATGGTAAACCTGCAGAGAGACGAGGAGAGGCAGAGAGAGGACAAAAGGGAGAAACATGAGATTTGTGTGGAGAGACGGGGAAACAGAAAAGGTAATGGAGTTAAATAACTAACTTTCCACAAACTAAGAGAGCACAAATGGAGGGCTGTGGAAGCTGGACCACTTCCAGGACACACACATGCACACAAATACACACTTAAACACACACTGCAAAGATGTAATTTCATTAGTCCCTTGGCTAGCAGGTGGACTTGGTATCTTGCGCCCTCAGAGCAAAAGGTCTTATCTGGCTTGTCACACACTGCAGGATGGAAGAGAGCCCACAGAGCTGGATCGAACAACCACACACACACACACACACACACACACACACACAATCTCTGTGAACATACCACAGCACTGCAGTTCAACGCCTCCTACTTCACCACACACACACACTCACATTCGTGCGGACGTCACACACATTCACTTCCACATGTAATTCCCACACGAGCTCAAACAGGAGGCACGGTTTTTAATCCTAGGCAAATCAATGAAACCCATTTCCTTTGGATTCAGGGAAGTATTAAACCCAACATGAAAGGGGGAGAAGGAAAGATGGAGGCAGAGTGAATGAGGAATGGGGGGGAGGAGGAGGAGGGTAACTCACGTGCCATCCTCATTGCTCCTGTAGAAGACCAGGAAGGGGTCGGACTTGCCGAAGAAATCCTTTTTGTCCAATTTGTTCCCGCAGAACTGCATCATCACTGATTCCTAAAGAGTAGAGGCAGAAGAAGACTGAATATAAATACATTGTCGATCGATGCATGTTTCCAGCCGGTGGTCGCAGCATCTTTTTGTAGATAGAAGGATTTCTGGTTTATTTAGACAGCTGTTGGTGGAAAGGTTGAAATCTCCCGCTCTTCTCCAGTTGATTTCACTGCATGCAAACGTTGAATGCAGGAGCAACATAGTTACGAAAACAGTTAAAAATTCTTTATCGTCAACTTAAAAGAACGGATTTCAGCTACACGATGGCGCCCCAGAAATGATTCAATGTGTGCTGAGGCCGAAAAATAGGAGACGAGTGATGAAAGATGAATATAACTAAAGCTAGTAAGAAAAATTCATTCAGAAATATTTATTTTTACACTAGTAAAACAGTAAACAACAGTAGTCATTGATGTCTTCAGTTATATTTGTGACTCGTCTGATAAACTTTTTGCTTTTATTGTGTAGGAATTGGGCTTAAGTATTCTCAGGGCCTCTTGTGCCTCTATATCTATTGTGCAAAACTACAAAGACAGAGCACAAATAGAAACAGAAAAGATAGAGAAACAGGCCGAACACTGGAAAACAAGTGCACGTTCGTCCTCACCCTGCAGTTGTTCAGCTCCTCGGCTTTCACGATGATGGTCCCGCATTTCTTCCCTTGAATGCCTCTGCACACAACACACAACACGGCAAAGGGTTAAGATCACAATCACACGGTTCGCGTATTTTGGCGCGGCCACGTTGTTTACTCTACGTGTTAACCGTCCTCCTATGTCTGCGCGCGTTCGAGGTCAGCTCGAGGTGGAGGTCGGTTGACTTTGTGGAAACGACCCGAAACGGCGTAAGAAAAGTGTGTACACCAGAAGAGGAGTCAGCGACACGGCATGGAGTCGTGTTCGATAGCAACGGGGCGAGTTTCATGCGGATGGGTGGTGACCTGCACCGTGTCCCACACTGACCACGTCCCATTGCTTTGTTTGTCTACTCGGCGATGCTCAGCACTGCCACTGCGGCGTGTTGACCGCAGGATGACAGAAATTTCTATAAAAAAAAATAAAGAATAGATTCTTTCCCCAAAACACCAGTCTCATCAGTGTCGTGACATTTTTCAATGATTGCGGTTGATTGCACACTGGGCAGGGGGGGGGATGCAGGGGAGATTTGTACCGGTTTCCACAAAACATGTCCTTTTGTTATTTTTCACTGACACAGTGTAAGGGGTGCGAGGGATGACTTCAGAAGATCAAATGCAGAGAACTCAGCTTTGAATGTGAGAGCACGTTATCAGGTGAGACTTACTGGAAGACAGCACACCTCTGTTTAGACTCTGGCCAGGAACAAACCTCATGGAAAGTTTTACTACTTCACTCCGCCTCAAAAGCATTCAAGATACAAACGGGACACTGTTTGCATGGGAGGGGCGGGGGGGGCGGGGGCAAGTTGACCGTCTGGGAGTGTGCTTCACTGTGTGAGTGGACCGTTTGGGATAGGTGATGCATGTTCATGTGTAATACGTGTTTCTCTGAGTAAACATCATGGTCTTAAAGGTGAAGTCAGTGACATCATTTGCAACACCTCCTCCTCCCTTACAAACACACAGAGCTGACTGATTCCACCGTCTGAAACTGTAAATGTTAGTGCGTGTAAGGAAATAGTCAAAAGCTAATTATTTACCTTCTGTCGTTCATCCTCTCCGTGTAAAAGTACTAGTTTTGCAGAAACATGATCCCTGTCAGTGTTTTACTATTACATATGGGTATTACATGTGTATATTTGTTTGGATGTTTTAGGTGGAGCTCATTTTAACTCCTTTATACTCTGTTGTTCAGTTTGGGTAGTTAGGAGGGGTTTGAAATATGATAATGTTTAAAGTAACTAAAGCTGCCAGACAAATGTAGTGGAGTTAAAAGTACAATATTTCCCTCTGAGATGTAGTGGAGTGGAAGTACCTTGAATGTGTACATAAGTACAGTACTTAAGCAAATATACTTTTCTATAATTGCCCACCTCTGGCGTAGAGTATCTTCCATGCAGTGTATCTCGGGATTCCCTCTCCCCTCTCAACCTCGCATCACCGCTGAGCACCGCACACATACTACATGTCCCCGACGGTCGGGGTTGATAGTTTTATAGATGATTAAGTTGATGGGTTATGAAATTTATAACCCATCATGTTATAACCCATCATTTATAACCCATCATGATAAAAAAAACTACTTGAAATTGTTCAAACGCTTGTTTTCCTGTGCAGCTATGTTTCAATGCTTCCTCACATGCAACAGGGATAGCGATGTTTCCACTCTGATCACAACACCTCCGTGTGGGAGGGAGAGCTGGGCAACATAATTTGACTTGACATGAGACTTGAGAGGTCTTGCAATCCAGCGAGAGGGGCCCCATCGTCTGATGAGCTCCGCTCTGACAGACGCACCTGGCATAAATCGACTCAGGCAGTCATTTAGACAGCCCAGGATTGGGGTTGAGGACCTCTGCGTGAATGTAATTCAAGCCTCCTTTTACTCCAGCACAAGGAACTTGGGGGGCGCAGTTTCTTTTGAAATGGCAGACTTATATTTCCCTTTTTACTTGCTAAATGCAATACCCTTTTTCTCAGAAATCTAAAGCTGGGAAGAAAAGGTAAAACAGCACCTTCAGGAGAGCAGACACCTTTTCCTTCTATCATTTCCTTTTATTCCCAGACAGCACGGGGAGGTCTGGAGTTGTATGCATGATGTGTGTTAATATATCCAGAGGAAGACTGATTGAGACGGAGACCGAGGAGGTGAGAAAGAGCAGCGCGTTCTCACTTCAAATACAGCAGCTCGGTCAGTGGCCCTTCGCTCCACGGTTTTCAGTCTGCCCCTGTGGACACTCACGCTTGGTGTCGTAAAGATCTGCAGCTGCCAGATTCCCTTTAGAAAACCTCTCATTTTACTGCTCCAGGGTAAGACAGTCGGCCCCACTTAGTGCTGGTTCGATGCTGCCTCCCGCCAGAGCTTCGGCTGTGTAGGAAATTTGGGTTTAGAAGTGGGTTTTAAGAAATTATAATAGAAGGGTTTAATAATTCATTATTAAGGAATCATAATTCAGGACTTCTAAACACATCCGGTGAGATACTGGAAATTTGGAAAATAGGCTGAGTGATTGTTTTGTTTGATTATTTTGAGGATTTTTTTGTTTTATTGGGTTATAATGGGATTTCAGGGTGCAATAATTAAGAAATGTACTTTTGTCAAGTGTAAAAAGAGCAGACAAGGCTTCTCAGAAAATTCTTCTCTAGCCCTCAGGATGGAGCCTGGACTCGATGCAGGACCATTCCCTCCTCCACCATCTACAGCCCCAACACCTGGACACCAGAGGACTTCAACCGGAATCGACTGTTATTGTGTGTAGTGAGGCAAGCGTAGGGTGATCAGATAGGGGTGGATGAAAAGAAAAGAAAAGAAAAATACTTGAATTGTTTGCGATTGTTTAGATAGGGGAAACTCAACCTCGAATTGCTGAGGGGGATTGTGTTTCCAGGGTATTATTTAATCCGCTCTGAACAGCGGAGTAGGGGGGAGTTGTAGGAAATTTGGGTTTAGAACTGGGTTTTAAGAAATTATAATAGATGGGTTTAATAATTCATAATTAAGAAATCATAATTAGAAGTGTTTTGGAATACACTTCCGCTTACTTGGGCAGAGGCTGGCACTTAGCCCCGAAAACCGGTAGCTCCTGTAGGGGTCCCGGTTCTTGAGAACTGACTCGCCAGGCCTTTGCTTTGAGTGAATAAATGAATCGTGTGGGTAATTAGGGAATTAAGAGACAATAAGTCCAGTAATACGTGTGTCTAGTCTGCGTTCTAGCAGTGTTGACATATGTTTAAATGTTGAATGAGACTGTGCCATAACGTTTGTAGCTGTAGGAGCTAGCTAAGCGCTTGCTCCGGACCTTATTGTACTGTAAATAGAAAAGAAAGGTGCTTGTAAAGACAATAACCGGTGGATTGTGAGAGGGGTCAAAGGACGTACGAGTGGAAATAAAGCGTGGGATTTTGGAGAAACGTGTGAGTGGGGATCTTTTGTTTTAAATTACGCTTCGCCGTTAGCATAGCTTAAGCTACCGGAAGTACTATTATTTTGTAGAAGAAGAAAAACGAAAAAAAGCAACTCCGCCGCCTAGCGGCCAGGAGGAGCAATTCCTAGAGAATTACAAAAGTAGTGTTTCGGATGTGATCACCTTGGAGTGTGTTTGGAGCAGAGGAAAAGGTGAAGCAGAGGAAAATTAATTGATGCAGAGGTGAGTTGCACACACACATCTAAGAACTGGATTGTGAATTTTTAAATTGTATCTGTACATGTGACAACTTTGTACCCAACTACAGATTAGCGAAGATGTATTCTAACATTTACTGCTGAATCTTGGGTAGTTCTGTTTTGCTTGGTTTTAGTCAAGGTGCATAGTCGAGTGGATCCAGATCTGGGGAGTGGAGCAGTGGATGCCAGTTTTGGATCGACGCGCACACAATACGACACAGAGGGTGGAGAACACAGAGGCATCCGCAGACAGGAGAAAGCAGTCGCCTATTGTATCGCCAGGCAGCTGGCTGTGGAAGAGTTCCACAGGTGTAAGTGGTGCTGACTAGCAGGGGGGACTGGACCATGGGAGGTTAATTTTATAGCCAAGATACATAGATGACATAGGGGTACCAAGGGGGGTGTCTAATGAATTTAAAGCCAGAAATCAAATAGCTGCAGGTTTAGAATCTGTTTTCTCTCAAAGGGTGTCAATCAATAAAAATATCAATTGGATCAATTACCTTTACTATAACCAACAGCGTTTTGTAAAGTTCACCAGGGACGCTACATCAGGACTGCATGCACAGCTAGCGAAGACTAGTTTAATGACCTTGCAGAATAGAATAGCATTAGATATGATTCTAGCTGAGAAAGGCGGAGTTTGCAGGATATTTGGATCTGCCTGCTGTACGTTCATTCCAAATAACACAGCTTCTGATGGGTCGGTGAAAGACAGCTGCAGAAGTGTAAATTTCGTCGGGTGTCGCGGGGAGTCGGACCTGCTGACAGGCATTAAGACTACATATACTGTAAATGGCGAATGTTGGAGCTAATTGTCTTGTTGTTGTAACTTCAGATAAACTTTGGAATTTTGCACAAAGCGATGACTGTGTTTTTGGTCTCCCATCGCTTATACTGGAAGTATGAAAAGGAGGAACGATAATGTACAGAATATAAACAGCAGGCATCTCATTGTCTTATGAGTCAAATGCAAATTTTTAGAAGTAAACAGTAACGAGTAAATCTCTCCCCGTCTCTTTTCTATTAGTTTTGCACCCTCTCAGTCTCAATCATCTCACAGCAACGATATGCATGGAGAAAGAGTTAAAGACGCACACACACACACACACACACTCACACCCCAGACAAGCGCCCAGAATCCACGTCTCCATGACAACTCTGCCGAGCAGGGGCCCCCGCTGTGGGACATGGAATGGGATTCCTCTGCTCGTTATTTCCTCAAATGCTTGCTCGGTCCTCGACTTTACAGAGAGGCGGTCATTATTCTGTCTGAGAGATCTGCCTTGAAATGATGCGTGGGTGGCAGCTGACAGGATTACATAGTGACTGGATGAATAATGTATCTCACAGTTTTGCCTTACATGCGT